TGATTTGAAAACGAGAACACATTTAGAAAAAGATGGAATGTACCAATCTTTTTACAGTGCTTATATTTAGATAACATCTTTTAAAATTTGCTGTCATATGTTCTACAAATATTATTCTAAAATAATGATAAACAAATATGTTTTTCAATTTTATGAGACACGATCTGCGAGCAGTACTGAAGTATATAGGATAGAAACTGACCTCCTCTTCTTCCACAGACCGTGGCAGACAGGTTCTGGAGACTATCACCGACCGTGACAGACAGGCTCTGAACCCATCACGAACCATGATAGACAGGCTCTAGACCCATCACAGACCATGACTGGTAAGAGAAGAAAGCAGACTTCTGTACATCTGAAGTACGAAGAAGCACAGAAGTAGCGAGAAATATCAAGAAGTACTATGAAGTACGGAGAAGCATCAAGAAATATCAAGAAGTATAGGAAAGCATCGAGAAATATCATGAAATATATGGAAGTACTGTTAAGTATATTAATTTTTACAGTAAGATGAGACAGTTTTTTTTAGCTGAATATATTTATTCAACAGCAAGAATAAACAAAACCATAAGAAAATAAATAGCATCCAGGTTAATTTTTTCTATTTCAATTCCATGATAGATTATTTAAGTTCATTTCGTATGTCATTTTTACATTACCTGTTTTGTTACCATGCAATGACCACAAGGGAAAAAAGCGCGACTCTAGTATTGGAGTAAAGTGGAGTACCAATGAAGTACACGTGGAGTACGAGCGGAGTACCAGTGGAGTCCATTCTCATTTGTACTCCACTGGTACTCCACTGATACTCCACCGGTACTTCATTGGTACTCCACTGGTACTCCACCGACACTCCATCGATACTCCACTGGTACTCCACTCGTACTTCTGAGAGTACTGGAGTCGCGCTTTTTTCTCCTTGAATGTTCGTGATTTGTTTTAATGAATATTAGCATTTATTTCTGTTTAATGTCCAGCATTAGTCGTGTTTTTTTAATCATAGTTATAATAAGTTTCTCTTTGAAAATGTTAGTGCAAAAAAGCAAACATAAAAAGAGGGTTGGTACTTTGTTTTCAACTGTAAAGTCTACTTTCGTTATTTGTTTGTTTTTTTTTAAATGAAAAACTACATTATACGAAGAAACTGATTGTAGCTTTTTTATCTCTGAAGTGAAAGGCATACCTAAAACTAAAATAGAATCACATATACGTGTCGAGAAATATGAAGAGATGTGGCAAAGTACGAGGAAGTATGAAGAAGTATGGAGAAGTATATCGAAGTACGAAGAAATACAAATTAGTTTCCAAAAGTACCAAGAAGTATAGGAAAATATGCAGAAACACGAAGAAGTATAGAAGTCTGCTTTTTCCTCCTTGATACAAATACATGGCATTGAAACTACAGCCACATATTCCTGATTCCAGACATATTTATGTGAAACTACTCGTATCATTCTCTCTCAGGTTATTTTTAAAAAATGCACATCTTATCTGTTTGTACGTTTTTCTGTTATGCTTATCTTTAGTATTATGGAGAGATCACACATCACTCATGTCTATCATTTTATGCAAGAGAAAGAAAATACTGATGACTATGGCTCAGATAAATAATGATACGTTTACTCTTAGCTTTGTCAAGTTTCAAAGCCACACGAATTAGTATTACAGCTAAAATTAAGATAAACTATTACTTACCTTTTTTAATTGACCATAGAAAATGATGAAATATATCCATACTCTACACTCGAACAGATTTTGTTTTCGAGAAAACGTAGCCATTAGCCATTTTTGTCTTTGTGTGACTTAAATAATATTGAATAATTGAACATACTTTTGACATGATTTTCATCTGTGTTTTTTTTGCAGCTTACTATCATAAATTTAGTATCTTTGCTGATACTCTAGCTTCACCTTGGATATGTATGTTTTATATTATTGATTGAGATATGAAAAGGCTTCTTTTGATACATTTGTTTGGCCACATGGTGTGTGATAAATGATGAAGTGATTTATGATGTACAAAGGATTGATTGGGATGGTAGAAAATAAAAATTAATGAAGCGTGAACATAAGAAAAAGAAAAAAAGAGAGAAGCGCTTGTAACCATTATTTTCGTCACATAATATAACTAATACAGTGAGGAATACTTTGCTATCGAATATCATCATAGATTAACTAATATTTATGTTTGATTTTTTCCATGTGCGAAATTACTTTAGATCTATGAGCTAAGAAAATGCTCAATGCTTATCAATCTTGTAGGATAATATATCTGTTCTAGTATTATTGTTTAATTGCATGAAATATTTTAGTTATTCTTACTACACATGTATCCATGGAACTCTTATTCTTTACAAGTATTAATAGTGTTACAAAAGCATGGATACCTACGATGTTGATAAATTCAATAAACTGATGTTTAAAAAAATGTACTCTTCTAACACAAAATGTTTGTTCCAAAAATCTGATCGAAAAAAAGAAACATGGATATTTCTTTAACCATTTAAACGATGTACATAAGACTGTTATAGTTTGGTTCCATATTCATTGAAATTTTATGTCATATAGATTTGCCTCTAATAGATGTGGAAAATGATCACTTATAAATGCAATACGGTAAATCTATCCTTTTTGAAAATATCTGTAAAGATATCATATAAAATTTAAATTGAAATTGTTTTGATTCTTTGGTGCATTTTCATTTTCACTTTAACGAGATCTTTATCAGACGTCATAGACTCATGCAACTATTGAAATTTTTATATAATCTTGAAAGGCAACGTTTTTTGTGTTACGTTAGAAAATCGAGTGTTCAAACAATTTTTTTCGCAGTAACATTTTCAATGAAGAAAAGTACTTTACTATTCTCTATGCCTTTTTTTTAGTTCAGAAGTAAGAATATTATGCTAGACGAAGTTCCTTCGCATTTCAGCCGAGAAGTCTGTCAACCTCTGGAGAACATATATTCAAGCATGTGTAATAGAAAGGATAATTCATTTCAATGGGCATCACGGTCAAATGAGCTGACGCGACTCAACATTTGTTATAGGACCATGTAGTGAATAATTTTTATAAGACATCTGTCAACAATCTTCTTCAGTTGAAAGTTGAAATCAATAATCAGATCACAAAGATTTCAAACTAAATTTCATACTGTGGTTTTGACAGATATGTATTTCCAAAAAGGCAGGATCTATGTGATGCATTTATAAATGATCATTTTGGATATCTATTACAGACAAATTAGTGTGGATGTGGATGCGAGTGCGACATTTCTAGTATCACGCATTCTCTCGTTCACCATTATAGTCAATGTACTAATAAAACACTCGTGAACGAACGTACGAACAATTTCACCTATATCCCAGTTTGAAAAAGAATCTTATACAACAATTTATTAGCCAACAACGCTAGGCAAAAAGTTAGTCACAGACAAATTCTCACTGCACGATAATTTTATATAGAGGGTACCAGTAAAAACCAATATTTTCTAGGCAAAAACAACTGTGTCAAAGATTTAGCTTGTATAATTTCATCTCGCGTACTGTTCTGATTGTGTAACTCGAAAATATTGCATTTTCCAAAAATCAATCATTAAATATATCCTAATTCTCTTTCAGTATATACGTTATACATCTTCATCGAATTAATCACTAGGTGTGATACAAAGACAAAATGTCGTTTTTTTTACTGTCATATATCCCAAAAAATCGGTGGTATAGGAAGATGCAATATATACAAAAAGATTCTCAATGATCAGGTGATTGATTTTTAACCTTTGTGAAGTTAGTGTTATCATATAATTTCTAGAACAAGTCTCAGTCATAAACTCGTAGTCATTTTTCCAGAACCATTATATGATATCTTAACTGAATAAATGATTTGAATGAATATTATAGAATGACGCAATTATGATAACTCAGGTAGTATTGCAAATTTGATAGCAATCACTGTAATTGTACATACTACTATATTGATATCAGGATAAGAAATTCTGGCAGCTGAAAGTTCATAGTTTAAAATTTAAATTCATCCATATGATAACTACTAAGAAACAACCGCTACTGTCTAGGCATTTTGTTTTTAAAAGTATAGTAAGAGTCATAAGCACTACCGCGGATTTTCATGAGTACCGCGCGGTAGTACGGCATGAATATAATCCGAATAGTGATATTTCGATGCTAAATTATTAAATTGCTAATATCATCATTCGACTGCTCTCAGTTATTTGATTGAATAATGCTATATACAGTAACAATAACCTTGAATACTATTGCAGTAGATTTCCAGTCGAAATAAATATCTCTAAAATATTTAGAATAAAAAGATAAATGAAACATTTGTAAGTAGAATTTATTCTTTTGATAAGAAAAAAATAATAAATTGAATTAGAAGTATCTTAGTAAATAAGAAGAACAAAAAACCACTATGGATATAATATTTATTTTCATTCTATTCAAATTGATTGAATAATAAACAAATAGAAAAATGGCATACATTAGTTCTTCATTTAAAAATTCATATCTTTTACTTCGGAGTAATATATCGTATGAACTTTTGTTCGATAAAAAGATCTCGAAAATAATACAAAGATTTTTTCATGAGAAATTTTGTACGTTCTTGATTTCATAGACTCATTTCAACTTGTATTAAATACTTAAGATTTTTTTTCATGGATTTAAATACAATCTAAAATATCCATATTGCACTTTCTCATATATTAATTCACAATTGATTTTTAAATTTGAATAATATCAATTGAATAAGTCCCTGACGTATATTAATTTGCTTCTAAGTTTTATAAGTTTTTCATATTCTCGTTATAATTCAATTCCATAATATAGATGACGCTAACGATACTACATATATATATTGTTTATTTGTCTTCTTCAATTACCAATCCGCGTTCAAATAACATTTGCGATATATTATTGTTCTCAATACAAAGGAAATTTGATAACATCCTAATATATTAACTTATATATTTTGTTTTCTTTTAGATGATTTCACGACTTAGTTTTTCGGCTGTTTCACGATTATTGGGTTCGAACTGCACATCAACATATGCTCCCGTAAATTTTTATTTAATTTTGATTGATTTTCATTAAACATATTTATTTATTTTAAATAAGATTTCATCGAATGCTTATCAATATCGATCTGCATCAACCAATCCAAACCTCAATGTAAACATTTGTATTTTATTTTTAATTAAAATTTATTTATATATATATTTATTTATTTAAAAATAGGAAGTAGTGATCGTCAGCGCTGTTCGAACACCAATTGGTACATTTCGTGGAAGTCTTGCATCTGTACCAGCACCTAAACTCGGTGCTACAGCTATAAAAGCATGTTTAGAACGTGCAAGTAAGAATAAAATAAACATTTCTGTTTTTCTTCTGTCTAATTTAGTTTCTCATAGAAATACCTGCCAATCGTGTACAAGAAGTTTATATGGGTAATGTTGTTCAAGCTGGTGTTGGTCAAGCGCCAGCACGACAAGCATCACTCTATGCAGGTTTACCACAAGAAACACTTTGTACAACAATCAATAAAGTATGTGCAAGTGGTATGAAAGCTATTATGATGGCTTCACAAAGTCTTATGTGTGGTCATCAAGATATTATGATTGCTGGTGGTATGGAAAGCATGTCAAATGCACCTTATTATTTTCCACGAGGTTTAAATGAACATATTTTTTTTTGTGGTTGTTGTTAAATTAAAGTTTGTTTTAGGAGATACACCTTATGGAAATCTTCAATTAGAAGATGGTATTGCTAAAGATGGTTTAACTGATGCATATGATCGAATTCCAATGGTAAAATTCAATAAATAATTTTCTATTTATATATATATATATATATCTGAAAGAAATTCTAGGGTTTATGTGCAGAAAAAACAGCAAAAAAAGAAAATATTACACGTGCAGATCAAGATGCTTTTGCTAAACAATCTTATGAACGAACAGCTAAAGCGTGGAAAGAAGGAAAATATAATGCTGAAGTTGTACCAGTAACTGTAAAAACAAAAAAAGGTGAAGTTATTGTAAAAGAAGATGAAGAATATAAAAAAGTTGATTTCGAAAAAATGAAAACAGTAAATTACGAAAATTATTTGAACACGAAGTTCAATGCATTTTTTTTCAATAGTTAAGAACTGCTTTTCTCAAAGATGGAACAATAACAGCTGCAAATGCATCGAAAATTAATGATGGTGCTGCTGCTTGTTTATTAATGACACGTCAAGCTGCTGATGAACTTGGTTGTAAACCATTAGCCCGAATAATTGGTAAAATTATATACGAATACAAGATCTATCTTTGGCAAATTAACATTCAGAAACGAATTTGAATTTTATTTTTTTAGCTTTTGCTGATGCTGAAACTGCACCAGTTGATTTTAGTATAGCACCTAGTTTGGCTATTCCAAAGGTACAAAAAAGATTATTTTATTTTTGATCTATTTAATTGAATTCATCTAGCTTTTAAAACTTGCAAAACTTGATAAGAATGATATTGCTATGTGGGAAGTTAATGAAGCATTTAGTGCTGTTGTATTAGCTAATGCAAGATTACTTGGTATTAGTCTTGATAAAATGAATGTACATGGAGGAGCGGTTGCACTTGGACACCCAGTTAGTATAAAATTTATTTCAATCTTATTATTTTTTCGTTTTTGTTCTCTTTAGATTGGAATGTCTGGTGCAAGAATTGTCGTACATTTATGTCATAGTTTAAAACCCGGTGAAAAAGGTGTTGCCGGTGTATGTAATGGTGGTGGTGGAGCATCAAGTATTTTGATTGAAAAACTTTAAAACATTTTTTGTCCTGGTTATTTTGTATTTTAAATAAAGATTTCCTAAAAAAGAATAAATATGAATATATTTATTTTCCTTTTTTTTTCTTTTCTTGATTTTAAATGTCAAATATTCGAGTTCGTTGTTTATTACAACAATGTACCAAAGCTACATTACGTCTACAAGATGAATCAGAAGTTACTGTAGGTTTTATTGAATTGAAAAAAAAAAAAAGATGCATTTTTGTTATTGAAGATTAATCGTGGTATGATTATATTTGTGGCTTTTTTAAAACATGCTCAATTGGATGATGTAATTAAATTAGGTATGTTATTTTGTTTGCTTTTTGAAATTGTTTCATTTTGAAAATTTAGCAAAAGAAATTGTGACAGTAAAATTATGTGAAAGTGACGATGGTTTAAAAACAATTGTTGATTTACCTGGTGATCTTTTAATTATTCCACAAGCAACATTAGGTGGTCGTCTTAATGTACATCGTTTTCAATATCATAATAATATAAATAGAGATACGGGCCTAGAATTTTATGATAAACTTGTTTCAAATTTACGTGAATTATGTAGTCAAAATAAAGATAATGTTGTTCATGCAGGATCATATGGAATAAAACAAATATATTCATGTGAAACGAATGGACCAGCTATCCATATAATTGAATATTAATAAATAGGAGAGTGGGTGTGGATATGGATTGGTGCGGATCTCCTACACAGACACCATCAAACCCAACACTCACACTCACCGTGTGTTGTCATAACAAAAAATTCTCGATTTTTTTGCTGTAATACAATAATAAAAATAAAATAACAAATGACTGATCTTATAAACGTTGACGATTTGGATACTATCACCATCAGAAAAATCCATCCGCTAACATCTACACAGGATATTTTGTAGACTCAATAATACATTCTGATGAATGGAGGGCTTATTTTCAATTGTCACATAACACCGACTATACTCACTTAACAGTTAATCACTTAGTTTTACAAATTTATTCTCTTTATCCTGTAGTCTAATTTATTTTTTTTTTGCTTTAATAAAATTCTTTCGTTCTTATATGACATCTATTCTAATTATTTTTCTTATCGAGAAATATTGGTTCATATGTTTCAGCAATAAATTTTTTTCCGTTCTGTACACGTGTTAACAATGATGGTATTCCTCAACTGCAGTAGTACCAATTTTTCTTTTAGATGACTGAATGAGATTAAGTTCGATTGTATTTAAAATAGTTATGCATCGAGTGCTTAATGTTGCTGAAAAGAATGATGCAGCTAAATCATTAGCTCGTCTTCTTTCAAAAAATTCAGCATCTATGGTAAAATAGATTTTTTATTTAAGTTATATTTTGAATAAAATTTATATGTTTTCTTTTAGCGTGAAGGTTTTTCAAGATTTAATAAAATTTATGAATTTAACTATCAACTTTTTAATCAACCAGCACAAATGATTTTTACATCTGTTTCTGGTCATATTATGAATTCGGATTTTACAGCAGCACATAATAGTTGGTATGAAAAAAAAATGTTTATTACAAATGCTGACAAGTTTTTTTTTGAAGAAACTAAACGATCTGTTTTTATAAATCTTGAATTAATAAATAATAAATTTTAGGGCACAAGTTGATCCTGTTGTTTTATTTGATGCTCCAGTACAAAAGAAAATAACTGATCGTGCAGCAGATATCGAAGTATAAATTGAATTATTTATTTTATCAAAATATTATTATTATTTTTTTTTTATTAAATTTCATTTCTAGAAAACAATAAAACGTGAAATAATTAAATGTCAAACATTAATTATTTGGACTGATTGTGATCGTGAAGGAGAAAATATTGGATATGAAATAATTAATTTATGTCGACCATTAAAAACAGGTTTAAAAATTTATCGTGCACGTTTTTCTGAAATAACATATGATAGTGCTGTACGTGCTTTATTAAATTTAATACAACCTGATGAACGTATTAGTGCTGCTGTTGATGTTCGTCAAGAACTTGATTTACGTATTGGTGCAGCATTTACACGTTTTCAAACATTACGTTTACAACGTTTATTTGGTTTTGATTCAAAACAAATAATTAGTTATGGTTCATGTCAATTTCCAACATTAGGTTTTATTGTTGAACGTTATCTTCAACGAGAAAATTTTATACGTGAACCATTTTGGAAAATAATTGTTGAACATCAAATTGAAAATAATCAATTTTGTGAATTTACATGGGAACGTAATCGTTTATTTGAACATCAACCATGTTTAATGATTTATGATATGATTATGGATGAACCATTAGCAAAAGTAATAGATATTAAATCAAAAAATAAATCAAAATGGAGACCTACTGCACTTGATACTGTTGTATGTTGAGAATGTTTTGAAAACAAAAAAAAAGAAAGATTTAAAATAATTTTTTTTTTTTATTAGGAAATGGAAAAACTTGCAAGTCGAAAATTACGTATGACTGGTAAAAAAACTATGGATATTGCAGAAAAATTATATATGAAAGGTTTAATTAGTTATCCACGTACAGAAACAAATATATTTCCATCAGAAATTAATCTTCATCCACTTATTCAAAATCAAATTAATGATCAACGATGGGGAGCATTTGCTCAACGTGTACTTAATGATGGACCTCGACCACGTAATGGAAAAAATACTGATAAAGCCCATCCTCCTATTCATCCAATACGTTATCCGGATGGACAATTAACAGTAAGATAAGCTGAAACTTTAACAATGAATAAGTCCTATTGAGAACATTATTTGTGTAAAGTTTCAAAGTGACTACAAGACTTTGCCGAAAAATACTAGATTATTAGATACAATGATTATAGGGATCATTCCTGACCCTCTTTTTCTTTTGTTAAAATAATTAGAAAATGAAAGTAATTATTTTTTTTCTTATATTAAATTAAGGATGAAGAAAATAAATTATATGAATTAATTGTTCGACATTTTCTTGCTTGTGTTTCAAAAGATGCTCAAGGTGATGAAACAATAATTAAAATTAATATTTCAAATGAAATCGTATGTTTATTTATTTATTTATATTAATATTTAATATTTAATATTTAGTTTCACGCATCTGGTTTAATTATTCGTGAAAGAAATTATCTTGATGTTTATATTTATGATAAATGGTCAGAAAAAGTAAATAAAAAACATTTGAAGAGATCTGTTTGTTTTTTTTTTGATAATTTTATAGGAATTACCACATTATGAATTAAATCAAACATTTTATCCAACAAAAATTGAAATGATTCAAGGTGAAACATCACCACCACAATTATTAACTGAAGCTGATTTAATTGCCTTAATGGAAAAACATGGAATTGGTAAATTGAAAAAAAAACATATATGAAATTATAATTATAATTATTGTTTTATTTTTAATTGAATAAATTTAGGTACAGATGCAACACATGCAGAACATATAGCAAAAATTCAAGAACGACTTTATACAAAAATGAATTCCGATCGAAGATTTGAACCAGAAAAATTAGGTCTTGGTTTATGTGAAGGTTATGATAAAATGGGTCATGCTTTATCTAAACCACATCTTCGTTCTGAACTTGAAAATCAATTAAAAGCGTAATGAAAACTATTTAATATTTCTTTTATTAATTATTTAATTTTTTAGAATTTGTGAAGGAAGAGCAAATCCAGCTGGTAAGTAAGAAAGTGGACTTGAAAATTTCAAAAACGTAATCTTTTTTTTATTTTTTTTCCGTAACAATCATAGCTAGAACAATTTCCTATTCGGAAAGATACTTATCAAGTTCTAATAAGCAGATTTAGGTGAAAGATCTTCGGAACATCAAGACTCATAAAACCAGCTTTCTGAATTCTATTAAAAATGTTTTGATATCTTCGTGCTCTCCATGACCTCTCTTCAGTGAATTGTACTTATTCTACGAAAGGTTTCGAAGTGTAAAACATGTCTATAGACTATGACACAGTCCGACAGCGACAGATTTTATTTTCTTTATGTAATAAAATAATTTTCATATGTAATCTATATTTAAATAGATGTACTTCGTGAACAAATTGATAAATATCGACAAGTATTTATTGTTACTGCAGCACAAATTCAAAAACTTGATGATGCAATGACTAAATATTTTGGTCCTCCAGGACAAAATCCACCACCACCGCCTCCACCACGTCCACCACCATCAGGACCTTTTGGTGATCGTACTAATAGAAATCAACCACCATCTGAAAGAACTAATTCATTGAATAGGTAAGATTTTTCAATTGTTCTATTTGTTTATCTAAATGTATTATTTCAGACCTTTACAAGTTTCACGTAATAATAATAATAATCAATCAGCTAGGTTATTTTTATTTCTCATAATTATTTCCTATTGATCTCTATTTTGTTTAGACCTCAACAATTAAATCGTCCTGCTAGGTAAATTACTTATTTCAATTAGATGTTTATGAGAGCTTTCACGAGCTAATCGAGTATCAGTCTATTATACGAAGTACTCGATAGAAAATTTCTTTGTTCATTCAACGTATCAATGTCTAAAACCATCAACCACAAAATTTTAGGTTCCAATATCTTTCCTTTGAAAAGTTAGTCAATACGGACTTTTAACACTATCGTATCTTTTTAGGAAAAAAAAAGAAAAAATTTCCTATAAAAGTTGTGCCAACTTGCGTTTCAACAGATCGTTGATATTTTTCATAGTATATACTAAAAGATAGAGAATTAAAAGCTGAACAAAATATCTTGTGCTGCATTTCAAGATCAAGAGATTCCAAGATGAATTTCATATATATTATGCAGCTTTCTTTCTCTACAAGATGGTAAAAAATATTTCCCATCGACAGGAAATTTTCTACCATATTGTAGAGAAAAAAAAGCTGCATAATATAGGTGAAATTCACTGTGAAGTCTCTTGAACTTGAAACACAGCACAAGATATGTTGTTTTATTAGAACTGATAAAAAAGAACCCTTTTGACTCATGTTAACTTTATAAAACATGAGTTGCTAATCATTATATTACATTCATGTAGCTTATTTTGTTCAGCTTTTCATCCTCTATCTTTTGGTATATACCATGAAAAATTTCAAAGATCTGTTGAAACACAAGTTCGCACACCTTTTATAGAAAAGTTTTTCTTTTTTTTTCCTAAAAAGGTACGATAGTGTCAAAAGTCCGTATTGACTAACTTTTCAAAGGAAAGGTATTGGAACCTAAAATTTTGTGGTTGATGGTTTTAGACATTGATGTGTTGAATGAACAAAGAAAATTTTCTATCGAGTGCCTCGTGTACTCGATCCTCTCATGAACGCTCTCTTAATTAATTTATTTTAGACCTTTACAACAAGAACAAATACGTCCAACGAATAATAATAATGTACCTAAATGTAATTGTAATGTTGATGCTAAAGAATTAACAGTAAAAAAAGGTAATTTATTTGTTAAGAAATATAAAGAATATTCTTTTTTTTTTTTTGTAGATGGTCCAAATAAAGGTCGATCATTTTTTCGATGTGGAAATAATGATAATTGTAATTTTTTTGCTTGGAAAGATAAGTATGTGTTTATGTTTTGCTTTTTGTTTTCTTTTAAATAAAAATTTAATTTTAGTACAACATCAACATCAACATATGTTGGAAATAATCAACGACAATATGGAGATAATCAGCCAAATACAACTCGTCAAAGACGACAATCAGATAATGATGAAGATGGAAAACAGCGAAAATGTGGTCTTTGTAAACAGACAGGTACGAGTTTATTTTTTGCAGTTCAAATTTGATCAAATAAGAATATTTTTGTTTTTAGGTCATACACGTCGAAATTGTCCATCGTTAAATCTTTGATATCTTTTTTTTTTTTTTGGAAATAAAAACAGTCAGTTATTTTTTTTTTCTATATTAGATATTTACTTTGTTATTGTTTATGTTTGATTGATAGTAAAATTGTGATATAAACAGTACCTTTTCTTTCTTTTTCATATTGATATTTGTATCTAGTTTGAACTGCATCATGAAAAGAATTTCCTGAATGAAAATTTGCCAAAATTATTACTGTATAGTATTGATAAATTCCATTTTCGATGCTCTTTTTTTTATTATAAAATTTGTTGTTTATGTTATTTGAAACGACAGCATTACCTTTCTGAAAAAAATATTTATCCATCCTGTACTGCTGGTATGCCGGTAGCAATACACGTAGTTTTTATATTATTTCAAATGTACGAGTTTGTTTTCTTGCGTACACAAGCGTGTGTTTCAAGTGAAATAAGATGTGTCATTTAATGATATTGCTTATCTTTATTGAAGAATCTTAAGATTACGAACAAAAAAAAACATTTCTTAATTGTTTTATTAATAAAATTATTTTAAATAAATAGTTTAATAAATCAGAAAGATTTTTATTTATAAGCAAATTATTATGATAATAAAAGCAATGTAATGAATTAACCAGTAATATTGATTTTTCCTTTTTTCGTCATGATGGAAATATAAAAATACAATATAACACATAGTCAAAAGCAATTGTACGAAAAAATTCAAGACATCATAAGGGTAATAGATATAAAATTCTGGTTATTGTAAAATTGTGTCATATCATGTTTTCTTATGTAACTCATCCAACTCTATTCAATCATGACGAAAAAAAAGAAAAATAAATGTTAATATAATTTTGAAACATGATCACATTACATAAACTGTAAATTCATTGAAATTCGAATATATTGATCTGTGTCTACTATGAGCAGTTCATATTGTAAAATAGTTAATTTGAGATAATGAAATCATTCATTGAATTCAAATATGCTTAATCTTTTTAACTTACAATACATAATCTTCCATTGTTAATTTAAAAATCAACAGTTGAAATATTTCGAATTTTTAAATATGAAACATTGATTTGTTTTTTGTTTTTTTATTCTCTTAGATAATAACTAAAAATTATCTTGAAACGCTACATATGTATAAATTTATATTATCAATAGAAAGAAAAACAACTTAATTCAATGAACGGAAGTGTCTATAATTCAAGGGTTGTTTTTTTTTTTATCTTCATGTTATTTATGACGATAGTTCTACGCATAAGAATAAATTTTATCAATGATGATAGAGAAAGTAAACGACTTTTTTTTGTCTCTCCACTGTATACACCATGAGTCAGAACCAGATGAAAGTATATGATTGATGGCTAAATACCAAAAAATGGAGTCGGTTGAAAGAGAAAAATATGAGTCAATAACTCACCTATAAAAAAAAAAAGAGAACAAGAGAGCATGTTACTAAAAATATATAAAGCAAAATAGATTCTCATTGATACTATTGAATTGGACTTTGATATTCTATGCTGTTCTTTTGTCATTGTTTTTCTTCGTTTCTGTTTCAATTTGCGTATATTGATTTATAATGAGTCAAAAGCTAATATATTGACTCATTTTGAAATTATTTCAAAATCTATTCGATAATACCAAGTAACGTATTATGCTTAATATTCAAAATATGTTAATATAATCTATTCGTAAAATATTACACGTGTATCATTTTCGAGAGGATTAGTTAAGAAAATATAATTATTTATGAAATAGTAAATGTTGCACAATTCGTATGATAATATTTCTTTTTATTTAGTTGTTGCTAACTGCACGAGACAATAAATGCAAAAAAGAAAAAAATAAATTTTAATATTTATTTACTTTTTCATTTTCCTTGTAGATAAACATATATCAAAAAGTTCATGATAAATCAATGACTAATAAAGTGTTTTGAAAAGCATATTAAACATTTACTAGACAAAAAAAATCGAATTAGGCAAGTGAATTGATATATTTCTTCAAAATTTTATTTTTATTTCATAAGAATTCGATAGATATGTCGACTAACTTTGTCTTTTTTGATTGTTAGACACACCTCTCACGTGTTCGAGGTCTTTTTTTCCTATTTTTTTTTGTCTTTCATATTTTACAACGTAAAGAAAAAAAGAAAAGGGCAAAATGAAATATGAAACCATGTGGCAACATCAACGTTCGCTTTGAAAACAAATATTTTAGTAAAATTAGCGCTTTATTTTTGTCTGACATCATATTTATTTACGACGATTATTCATTTTCAACAACAAGGTAAAAAGAAAGCAAAGAATTTTTTTTTTTTTGAGAAATCAAAAACTAATTCTACTCTCTCTTACGTTCTAATTAGTAACAATTCAATCAACTATTATATAAATTTAATAGTACTTGTATTCGAAAGAATTATAGTTCAATGTTAGTTTCTATAAGTTGATTTAAAAAAAGAAACCTTCGAGTCGTTTATCATAGATTACTGATTAGAACAAATTAAATGAATCCTTATAAAAATGTACAAGAAAATTTGTTTTTTGTTTTCATACAGACATATTGCGTTCACTGACATATCAACAAAAGTTACACGTTTAAAGTATTCATCATAGAGGAGCATGTGTACTAAAGATAAGTGTGTTATAAAGAAAAAAGTAAAAAAAAAAAAGGATTCAAATACTAGTGAAAAATCTTTGTCTATTAATAGATCATAATGCATTCGAGCGTAAGCACTTTGCTCTGTCTGAAGTGCCATGAATCATAGAAACGATATATTTGATCAAAATTGACTTTTTCTTTGGGGGAAACCCCATTTACCTGGCCTTGATGTATATCTATTGAGAATAATGATTATATAGAATGTATTTATATTTTATATTTGTCATTTAGTTTTATTTTTCATAAATAAATGTGATAAAGTGCTTTCGAGTATCAACTGATAAAATATTTTGCTTTCTGGTCTTTTTTTTTCTTTCAAATAAGATGATATTTTTCTAAGTCACGTAAAAGTGTATATAAGTTGAACATAACTTGGTGTTATTAATTCTAATCTATTTTCTCTCTTTCTTGTTTTGTATAAATTTATTTCAGTTTTCAAATTCTTTATTTTCTATAGTTACTATCGCATTTATTGATTTAAGATTTTATTATTCGTTCTTTCATTTGTTATTTTATTCTCTCTGTGTCATACGCACCTATTTATAGTTTCTTTAACGATCATATTTTACTCATTCTACTCTTCATTATTTCACATATTTTCGTATTTTTTTTCTCATCTCTTATTGTTCGTCATTTTCACCTTGTTTATTATCTATTCAATATATTAGTAAGTTTTCATTCATCTTCAATTCTTTGAAAATGATCAGATCAATATATAATTCGCCGAAATTTACCATTGTTAAAATTTGCAATGTCACTTTCAGCGATCTCGTTATCAGTAATGGTTGTTTTCGGCGACCTTCGAAAATAACATTTATATTTATTAAAAATTTTCTCATATGATGCGTATAGACATTAAGTATAAAGCTGTGACAAGTTATTAGCAAATCTACTAACTAACTTAGTGAATATCTAAATAGGTTAGTGATTAAGACAAAACACTATGTAGATACAATATATGTCCAAAAAACAAACAAAAAAAAAATGGTCGTCGAAATAAAAAATAAACTGAACGATGTTCATTACGACGATTAGATACGTAATAAATTATTTGTTTTTTTTTTTTGATATTTTATAGAGTCTCTGTGTAAGACATTTTTGCATACAGTTTATTCTTTATATAACCAAATTATTTGACATTAAAAGAAAAAGAATTATTTTGTATCTATCACATCGTAATGATCAAATATATTTTAGTAATTATTCTCTTTTACTCTATTCCTATTACTTATATCTCATTTTCGATGCAATCATCTATTTATTGAAAGTAAAATCTAAATAATTATAAACTTATACTATTTGTACTATTTCTATCGATTATAATTTACTCGTAGTAGATAAATTAAACATATTTTTATTTTAGTCTTTTTTCTTATAGACATATGAAATATTCTAAAACTACTATATTTATGATTCTTGAAAATATCAACAAAAGTCACACTATCAATGTTTCTAATTATTTGATTTTGAAAATTATTTCTATATCATTGAAGTTTTTGAGAAATGATAGTACTATCTGTAACTATGTTCTGTTTCTTGAATCACGCAATACCATATGTTTAAGAGTAAATTTTTTTGTTTTTGTCCTTCATATATAACGCAAATGATAAGAAGAAAAAGGAAAGGTACTCACTACAAAAACAACAAGAATGAGAAAAAAAAAAAGAAACTCATATTTGTTGATCTAAATAAAAGTGACTATTATTTCATAACTATAAAAAATAGATGTTATCAATAAAGAATAAGAATAAAAATAAATCATATCATTGAATCAATCGAGTGACTCAAAACTTTTGTTTTTTTTTTCTTTGAAGTCTTAGATTGAGCTGACAAGAGAACTAATCCAATTGATACCATATTGGACTTACAAGCAGATCTCAATGAGACTAGTAAAAGCCAAAAAAGAGTTCATTCCGATGGGATCTTTCTCTAAAAAAAAAAAAACAAATAACGAAATTTCGATCTGAAATTTTACTTATAGATAGAACTGATGACTTTGTATTACTTTTGATATAGTTCCAAAAGACAAAGTATACATTGATTTCTTCCTTTTTTGTGACAATCCAATATAAATTCAGCTATTTCAATCTTGTTATAGTCAAAATACTGAGAGAATCATCCAACATGTTCTTGTTGATTAAGATATTCTACTAAAAAAATTTAATATAAAATTAATGAGAAAATTTACGAAGTATCTAATGATTTTTGGAAATTAAAAAAAAAAATATTTATTTGTTTTCAGATAAAGCACTTCTTTTTAAAGTAGCACAATTTAGTGATTTATCATCTATTGAATCGCTATTCGATGGTTCTTCTTTACACATATAATCAATACAAATTATCAACTCATGGCAAATCAATTCGATTATGGTTAGTATAAAGAATGTTTATTTGACTTATGTAGGATTATTCAATGTAAATACGATGAAAAACCTAATCGAATAAATTCTTCATTATTATTTCGAAGAATTATTTTTGAAATTTATAGTTTCGTTTGACTATTGAATTTTTCATAAATAATAAACATTATATGCACATTCGAAATTAAGAACATTCTGATAAATTTTATTGACAAGGGAATTTCATGAGACAAATTCAATATTTCAGGATAGAAGACATTAGAAAAGTTACAAATCTACCCGATGAATTAACTTTATGTTCGTGTAAAATTTGATTTTGAAAGTCGGTATTTTGAATTACTGATCTAAATGAATATCGTCTCAGTCGAAGAACAATACATACGAAAAACATTGTACTCAAGAAAAAAAAATATTATAGTTTTGTGTGCTGCTTTGACAACTATCGAATACACTATTTAGATAATCTTAGTAAACCATCGTTGATGAAGAATGTCAAAAATAAAAAGACTTTTAAATTTGTTCTATTTTATAGAACTTTCTCAAGAAGTTATGGAACTGGAATACAATGCAATTGCAGAAAATAATAGTATGATTATTTATTGTACATATAATATATTCTCATTTTGAGTATTTTTGAAATCATTAGATCAAACAATAAATCAGCTTATTGTTGTTAATGATAATCGGTTTGATATGATATTTGGACAAGCAAGACCTTGTACATCAAGTTCTTTTCATTGTGAGTTTTATTTTTTGAATTATGAAAAATATTCATAAAATGATATTTTCTATTGATTTTTGTAGGGCTACGAAATAAATGGATGCTTCTGATGATTTATGTGATTCTTATCATTTATTCTGGTAAATGCTTTCAAAAAAAAAAAAAAACGTTTTATTCATCAATTTTTTGTACTATTTGTCTAGGTTATATTTATCTTGCTCCGATTATCTTTCGATCAAGTATTGAAGATTTATCACTGTATAATACGTTAACGTTTCTCGAAATAGACAATACTTATCAAGGTAGAGAAAAGAGAATATTTTGATTTATTTTTATCACTATCAATATCATAGATCGTGAAATGAAAGAAGATAATAGATTTTGTTATTTAAATACAATAGTACGGAATAAACACAATGATAACATCAATGGTTTGATAATATATAAGAGTAAGCAAATCATTTAGAAAATATATTCTTTTTAATAATATTTGATATAAATATTAAGAGCCAAATATCGAAGACATATTGAAAGAAAGTTCTACAATACAAGTATTCAATGATTTAACATGCACATTATATGATATATTTCGATATGCATTCATTAAATTATTTTGTTGGAAAAATGATATCAAAGATATTACTCCAATTGAACTGCAAGATAGTAAATATTCATATTCTTATTGTAATGAAGAAGTTATGTTATTTTTTTTAAATATCTTTGTTTAGATATGTCTGAGAATAATCTTCGTGCTGATGAAAAAACAGGTTTATTAATATTTTTCTTTTTAATATTCGTTAACTAAATAATATAATTAGATAAAACATTATTATGTATTAAAAGTTTCTTTATTGATGTTGTGAATGGTAGACAATCAAAAAAGAGAAGTCTTACAAATGAACAATGTCTTTCACAAACATTATCATTGAGTATAATACTCGAAGATTAATCTATTTTTTTTAATACTTGAAATATTTTCCTTTTTTTTTTTTAAATAGATACATCATTTGATCAAATATTACAAACTGAACAAAAGACTTTTGATAAAAATGAAGTTAATCGTCGAAAACTTATACCTTCTGTTCATCCTTATAAAGGATTATTTAAATCACATATTCCATAAATCGAAAAAAAAAGGACCTTTCATATGTACAAAATTTCTGTGTTTAGTATTGTTAGTTAATGTTTTTTTCTTGATAATTTTTTTCCGGTGAGATATCAATCTGAATTAAATGAATTATGTAAATTTAATTTTTCAAACAGAACATTATGTGTTAATTATTCATCAACAAATGTTGATATAATAAACATAATTATAAATTCTTTTGGAAAATTATTTTCTATTTGTGTTTTTACAACTCAAACGAAAAAAAAAACAACAATCATTTGATTTACATTCAGTCATTTTACCTGTTATTATTGATATAAATCTCGGGTAATAAAGAAAAAAATTAATCAAAATTTATAATTGCATGTAAAAGAAATATATTGATATTTTTTTATATGCTTGAATATGATTAAATTTTGTACTAAAGTTTTATTCTTGTGTTGTTAACTTTATTTTCTTTTGCTTTAGTTTTTCTAAAGTGTTTTCAAAACTTAGTATTTAATTTGACTATGTTTTTTTTTTGATTTGACATCTACACGTTTAATTTAATTTCTTTTTTTCTTCAACATTATCGAATGTATAAAATAATATAATAATATAAAACATATCTTTAAAATTTCTTGATCTATTCTTTAACTAAGTCATCTATATACGTACGTTAATTGTTCAAATCTGTGATATGATGTTACCTTGAACAACTGAAAATGAATTTCAACTAGAGATGTTCGAATCAAAACTAAAAGAAATAGCTGATTTTAGCTATTTTTCTCTTGTATACGACGCAAATTTTACACAACCGTCAAAGATATCATTCCTAATAAAAACATGTTGGTCCTGGCACACCATCTTGCCCATATCTAGTTCTAAGCAATATTACTAACATTTTTTGCTGATAAATAAAAATTCGAAATTCTCCTCTATCATTACCATAAGAAAATGAACTCATTCGATGAAGATATTTTATTCTTTTTTTTTAAAGTAGATTATTCAGGAAATATCTGATTCTACAATCAAATAAAATTTTTGTTTTGCTTTTTTTCTCTATGATGTACATCAAGATATTATCGCGCATTAATATAAAAATGAATTGCACAATACACAGGGCAAAGAGGAAAAACTTCATGCAACATTCATTTTTTGTATGTGAATTTTTTCTAACGTTGTGAAGCATAGATTGTCCTTGTGTTTCTTAAACATGATAAGACAATAAAGGATGAATCAGCTATAGCAATAAATACAGGTGACCGAACAGCATATTCATAGTGACACTCCCCTCCGCAACTCAAATATTTATTTTCCATATTATATGCAGTGAAATATTTTTACGTTTTTACTACAGGTAACGAAATTATGTTTCAATTTTGGATTCATTTTTATTTTTCTATAATTCATTTAGAACTAATAAAGTCAATAACTCATAATATAAGTTTCTAAAAATTTGATTCAATCTTGTTTGTCTATTCAAGATAATAAATTTTCGAATCATTCTACTGAGAACTATTTTCGGATTATTCTGTTGAGAACTATTTTCGTTCACTAATTTGCCACGAGAGAAAACAAAAAGAATAATCAGATACCAGGTAAATATATCTTTTGCCTTCACTTTAGTTCTTTTCACTCATATATTCTCTTTTTTTTATCTCGCTTGCACGCTTACAAAACATCAGGTTGAAAGTTAGTGTCGCTAAGCAAGCAACATACACTACCAGCATCTCGATACACAACTGCATCATAATATTATTCCAACAGATTCGTTAATACAACGATTAACACAAAAGAAATGTAAGTATATCAAAAAAAAAACTTGATGAATACCACTTAGTGTATGATGTCTTTATCAATATAATAACATCTGGTCATTGTTAAATGCTTTGCTAAGACAAATTGTTGATTATTTCAAGTAAATTTTACATCAGTTAGTTATTTTTTTATTGATAGAACATTCAATATATTTAGTTTGTTTTTTTTTAGAATAAATTTTAATAAAAAGAAGAGTTTATTAATAGTAGAATTAATTCATTAGAATCTTTTTCTCACTGTTTTTTTGTAAATTAGGTGACATCTTCCGTAGAATTCAATTTTTTTTATTTAACATTTGAGAATAATTTTTAAATTTGAATATGTTGAATGAATTTATTCTCGATTATCTATTGTCTATAGTTTTCATTCATTAATATCTTTTAAATTTTTTCATGTTCGACTATATCCATTTGAAATGTTTTTTTTTTTGCATTGAAATTCATTCTTTTTTTTATTGACAGACTATCGATATTTTGTTTTTGTTTCTGTGTTTATCATAATTTAATTTTCTTATGACAAAGTCTATTATGTGATCTGGTATCGTTATATACAAAGAAGTAGATGTTTCATTTTGAGAGATTTTTACCCATAGATGCTTATAAGTACATATAGAAAAGAAGAGAGAAATGTTTTTTTTAATCCTTTTACAACGCATAGAGTAAATAATGACCTTGAAAGAGACTAGAGAAAGAAAAAAAAAAAGTAATGGTGGTGAGGAAAAATGAAAGACGTTTTTTACGATGATTAAATGTATGTTATAGTCAGATATTCTTATTCATAAGAGGGTAGAAGTTTTATTTCCAGAGATATCTACGTTAGTATTTGTATAATTGATATATGAGAACAGGAAAGTAGAGAGCATAACGTTGATTTTTGCATTTCTACGACACACACAAGACACTAAAGGACAAAAATGAGAAAAAAAATATCGTAGTGAGCGGACGAAGAATGACAGTATTCACTTTGTATAGTAGAAAATGTACTAGAGCATGCATTTCTGTTTACACAGTATATTTCACATATTTCTATCCTAAGTAGATTCTGAATTATAATAAATTATCTCAAAAAAATAAAAAAATAAATAATTATAATCAAGTTTTTTTCAAATTTTATCTTACATATTTTATAAGATATGAAATTATATTGAAACATAACGAGTTGAAATAAATGCGATAAAAAGTTTTTTTTTTTTTTTGATAGATGTTGCTGAACAGAAGACTATGCCTCATTAGATTGATGTCGGATCGATGGGTGCTATTCACCAAATACAAAAAACCAGAAAAAAAGTATCTCATATCTTTGAAGCGACTATCCAATCTCGATCAGAAAATTCCATTGAGATTATCAAATTACAGTTTGACTGAGTCCAAGTCTGAAAAAAGTTTGGACCTGACAGGTTCCATTCCTTACATACTTCATTTTTCTCTTCTTCAATGCAAGTTATCAAGTCAATTCTTTTATACCACAAGGCTCAGCTTTGAATGCTGTAGAACAAATGTATTGACTATTTTATTGCACAATCTACAGGTAAAAAATGTCACGAAAGACAACACAAAATATTCAAAGACTAAAAATAGAATTCTCATTAATAGGTTTTCACTAGATATGTATGTAAAAAAAAACTGAAGTAGCCACTTTGTAGGTTTTAAAAAAAACTCTATTTTCAATGCATGATTCAAAAAATTTTTAATGGAATTTTATAATGCAAGAAGTTCATTATAAGGTTAACAATGTTTTGAAAATATTGAAAAAAAAAACGAACATATTTTACTAATCTTTTTCGAAGTTGTCTGTCTACATTTTATTTTTTTTTATCACTTTGAACTTAAATGATTAATAAATACGGTCAGATCCCTAAAAATTTGGAAAAAAGAAGAGTTTCTTTTTTTTTCTACAGCTTAGAATAAAAGCAAAAAAATTATATTGTTGATCGATAACTAAGAATTAATCCCATATTTTTATTGAATCTATTTGCACTGTATAAGATAACGAAGTGAATATTTTTAAATCATATGAAAATTCATTGAAATCATTTTCTATAGTTTAGAATACTATTCGAAAAATTACATTTATTTTTTTCTATATTTTAATATTGTGCATAATCTTTCATGTCATTTTTATTTTAGGTTCAGATCCTACAATAAAATATTCAATGTAAGTTTTTTGTAGAGAATACAACATTGAACATTTTCATAAAAAAAAGTAGCTTGATCGAATGGATTGAAATAAAGTGAAAACATGAAAGTACTAAAGGTTTAATTGTTTCCAAGTCAATCATTATTTTATTTTTGTTTATTAACTATTGAAAGACATCTGTATGATGAAGGTGTCTAGGTAGATATTACATTTGTCTTACGAAACATTGTATAATGAGTATGTCATGCTCGATAACTCATATATCATGTATTTGAGATGCAAAACCGACTGAAAAAATTCTTTAACTGATGTTGACGCGAGATTTAAAAGTACTTGATTAAAAATTGAATAAGTCAAGAACGCAAACAGGTAGCGACCTATAGTGTTCAGGAATCCAAAGAGAAGACATGGGAGTGTCTTATATATAGGACGCAATCATTTTGAAACCAATGATTCCTACGAAATATTGAAAAAAAAAGACTGAAAACGGTGTGTCATTCCAATAAAATTTTGATAACCAGAAAATTTGCTTAAAAACTTAGTAGAATTCCATATTATTCAATTAAGCAAATACATAAATTTATTTGTTTAGTATTGATGTATGAATCGAGATTTCATCAGAATGCTAGACTATTTTCATACAATTTTTTTTTTGAATGTTTTGTGAAAATCATTGATTTCAAAATGATTATATCCATATGTAAAACATGTCTTCTTGTCTTCTCTTTCGATTGTTGAAAATCATAGATCACTTGTTACTTACATTCTCGATTTATTCAATTTTCAAACCGAGGGCACATTTTTACTTTCATCACATCATCTCTATACTGATTGATCTGATTTAAATACACGGTACTCCATGAGAGAGAGGGCGTTGTGATGAAAGTGGAATGTACCTAGCCGAGTACTTTTGAATCTTGTGTCGACATTAGTTAGTTTTACTCCTGTGAAAGTATATAAAAGACATCTTTTTCTTTTTTGTGTAGAAAATAAGGCATAATGTCATATGTTGCTATGTATATCTGATTCGAAGAAGAGTAAGTGTCCGTCAGATGTTCTTTGTATAATTCAATTGCAAAATAATATGCGTCAAGATATTGTAGGATTACAGTTAAAATAACTTATTTATATAATTTTATAGACTTTTGTTAATTTCTATAAAACAAAAATGTTTACAGTAGGTAGTTATATGTAAGAGAGTGAATATTTCATTTCGAGAAATTTTTATACATAGGTGGTTATCAGTGTGTTGTATCGAAGTTATTTAAATTCAACTAAATACCTAATTAATATCAATTAATTCATGATATTAAAAACAAAATATATATTTATAGTTAGTTTTTCATTTAAAAACAACACATAATTTTTTCACGAGAAAAAACAATAAAAAAATTATTCAAAAAAACAAAAAAGAATCAAATGTTGCTTTTTTTTGTTAATAGTTTATATGATCGTAGATTTATTCTGACGATGATTAAGATCTGTGACTCATAAGAAAAATCTTTAGAATAGTATGCTATGATTTAAACAAGATATTAACTTTATATTATCAAGAAATATACTGCAAATAAGGACAAGTTAAATTTTCTTATTAGAGTCAAACAAAAATTTCACCTACATAGATTTTTGAATACCATCTTTTAATATAATCTATGTATCAGTCCAATAAATTCTACTAGTGAAGCTAATCTCAAAAAAGAACATATTAGACAAACGTCATAGGAATAGTAGTATATAGTAACAGCAACCGGCGACTTTGGAAATTGATCGATGAAATGTTATAAAGATTTATTGTTTATATTCAAACACTCGGATCTATCTTTTATAGTATGTCACATCTTTTGACTGCGTTAGAAGAAAATTACAGTCTAAAGGATGTCGAATGCATCATGACCTAGGTCTTTTTTGCTATAATCTTGTCTTTGTTTTTACCCTCAGCTAGGTATTTTATTTATCTTAAATTTTAGTCTTATATTTTATACTAAAATGAAAACCGAGATTCACAGCAAAAACAAAAATTTGGAAAACATTTCGAAAATACATTGTATGAACAATACTAATTCTATGATTATGTTTGATTTAAATCAAAACATAATATCCTAGAGACTTCTTTTATTAGTTGCAGATTTTATAGTCATTATCAGAATAAATTTATAATCATATAAAGTATTACAAAAAATAATGTTTGATTATTTTTTGAATAATTTCTTTCTATGGTTATTCATAAAAAAAATGATATAAATTTTTTTTAAAATGAACTAATAACTGTTATCATTTTTTAATTAATATTTATTTGTTATTGAGTTGATTTAAAGTAACTTCAGTAAGAGAAGTACATATAGAAACGAAGAAAGAAATGTTTTATTTACCTTCGTCAAATCACAGAGAAAGCTCTATGCAGAAAAAAAAGACTTTGAATGAGACACGAGAGAGAGAGGGAGAAAGAAAAAGAGAAATAGGGGTGAACGAGAACCAGTAATTCTTATAAAATAACGTAGGTAATTGTCTGTATTATTATTCATAAAGGGGACAAAATTTTTGTTTAGAGGAGTCTATACGTCAGCCATGGGAAATGAGAAGTATGCATAGGAAAGAAAAGCCTAGAGATTGTTTTTTTTTTATCTTTTTACGATGAAGATAGAAAATGTATAGAAAAAAATTTCTTATGAGGCGAAAAAAGACCATCGCGAGACAAAAATAAGAGAGAAATATAGAATAAACAGAACGTAAAAGCAGTCTCGGACATGACATAAAACGTGGTGAATGTTACATTGATTCAAATATAGTGTTTCGCGCATTCATATCGTAGATAATAGTTTTCAATTTTTTTTGTATTGCACTTTTTTATTTGTACTAAATTTAAAATATTCATCCTCTAGATAGATATCCTCAAATAAAAATCTGTTAGTTAATTTACATTAAATTTTTTACATTTAGAACTCCTAAATTTATGTATTTAATTTTAAATTATAAACCAATAAAATATTATATGTATACGAGATTTTCAATGACCACTTGAGCAAATAGATAGATTCTACATTATAATGAATCATCTCAAAAAAAAGAAAAAATAATTATGTATGCATGATATGGTCATTTAATTTGTCTTCATCAAATGAGAATATCGACAGCAAAAGAAAATTTTATATAAATGAAGAATTAATTCAAAAACTTTGAACCTCTAAAGAAAAACCAAAAAGACGATAATTAACCCTGGTTTTTCGTTTCATATTTTTAAAAAATAAGATTGTTTTAATTTATATATTTTTTTTTCTTTCTAGATAAAACAAAAAATGCCTGAATTATCTGGTCAATGTGAACACGAATTATGCTCAAAACAATCCCATTCTAAACCAATACGCTTATATCAATGTTCATATCATTGTCGAAAAATGTTGTGTATTGAACATTTATGTGAACATGAACAATATATTGAAAAACATATGCACCATCGAAATCAATTAGAAGAATTATTCAATAATTATTCTGTAATATTTGATGAAGATGAATGTCTAAAAGAAATTAAACGTTTACAAAAAAAACTTGAAGAATATCAGCGCTTATGTGGAGTTACTAAGAATTTGTTATCAATTCATTCTTCTCATAGTTCCATGGAAAATAATGAAAAATTTCAGAAGGTGATTGAAGCAGTAAAGCAGGCTATTAAACAAGAGAATCAATCGAAATCATTTAGTCGTAAGTTTTTTTTATTCAAAAAAAAAAAAACAAAAAGAAGAAGAGCTATTTTTTAGGTGATATTGATACGAAAATCGAATCAGTAACAAGTTGTCAAGAAGAAAATCGACTGACTATCAGTCATGGTAAAGTATTATAAATAAGAGAGACTCTCGAAATTATTCAACCAGCTGTATTATTAAATTTTTTTCAGTCCTGTAAATACAAATAAGAATCTAGAGAATGATTTGTGTTAAGAATTTTATTTTCAAGAAGAAATTTTCAAAATCAAAATAGTTTTTTCATGATGGTCTCTGAAATGACAAAACCTCAGGTTTTTAGCTCCTAAAATTCTGTGTTGAATTACTCTCTAAAATGTTTTTTGAGCAACCTTCATCAATTTCACGGAATACTAAAAGTAGCAGTGCAGAATCTACCGATAAAATTCAATTAAAGATTTTATTGGAAAATCTTACAGTAATAATTTATAGTTAGTTATTACTGTCAACTTTTTCTTAGCTTATTACTGATAATAAAGTAATAAAAATTTGAACGTTATAAAACTAATTAGTAATGAAATAGCAGTCTATTAATTCATATGTCACTAGCAAAAAAGAATAAAAGAAAATGACACAAAAGAAGAAGATTAATATATAAGATAGTAAGAAAAAAAGTACATAACAGAGAAGTTCTAAGAAATTTAAGCACTACGTGACAGACATAATTTATCATAAATTATGAAAATGTTCATAATATTGATGGTCCAATGTGACATACTAATGCGCATAATAATATTAACGGTTCAAGTCAAAAACAGAAAGAATATAGCTCTTATTTGAATATTTCACGAATGATAATATGTATTTGATATAAATATTTAGGCATGTATTCTCAATTCAAAAATAATAACGAAGGTGATGCACCTCAAAGAATGGTTAATCATCCAATAGGTTAGTTAACTTGTATATTTCGATATGAATTAATTGAATCTTTCGTTATGCATTTTTTATTTAACAGATAACATCGATCGTGATAGATCAAATGAATCGGAAGAGCTGATTCTACCAACAGATGATAATGGTGCAACAGGTATACTTAATGTTTTTTACAACAATTTATAATTTATCGATAATATGAACCTAGCATGACATATATGTTTTTTTTGTTTAGATCGAGTTTTAGGTCCAATAGTGGTTCATTATGATGGTCATGATGAACATGATCCAACTGCTCATAGTAAGCTAAAGAGTTTGTGAAATATTTTTTTAATATTTATTTAAACATAATACCATGATTAGATCAAATATCAACAAGTAAAAATTCTTCTGTCTGTACTTCAAACATTAATAAATCGGATCCAACAAATCTCGTGAATGAACAACTGAGCACAATGAGTACAGGTGAGACATACACATTTTTATCGATTAAATGAAATGTTTCTTTTTGCTTTTACAGTTACAGGATCGAATGAAACATCAGAAAAGAATATTGATTTAAAAAGGATGTCAAGTGAAGACAGTTGTTATTAATATTAATCAAACAGAAAAAGTGTTTTAATCAAACAATAAAAAATATACTATTCTTCTTCACTTTTTCTTTTTGTCTTAAAATTATGTTAAAATATCTCTTCGCTCCGCTTCAAAAATCCATTTTTATTTGTATTCGTTCAATTTCTTATGAGATTCTAAGTAACAGTAACATACAGCTTATGATAAACTTTTCTCGGTAACTCCTATCCCATTTTTAACGAATATCTACCGAATTCGATTTATCGATATTAGGACTTCGCAGTCAATAAATCTTGCTTTTTTGTAAAACATAGTCGGATGAAAAACCTGGCATAAGCTTTTTTTTTAAATTTTACTTTTATACGATACTGAATTCGATCAAGATTGTGAAAAGCGGATTTCAATGACGAAAATTTTTTTTTCTGTGTTCTGAAATGTCTTTGAAATTTGTTACAATGTATTTATATAACATATGCCTCGATTCTATCTTTCCTCTTTTCTTTGATATTTTTCGTTTCTATTGTTTTTCTTTGCCCTTCATTAACCTTTGTATGCTTTTCTATTTTGTTCTTATTTTTTCATATGCGTATATAAACGTATTTTCTCAATGAATAAATAGAGAGGGAAGAAAACACATACATCTTAACAGTGTTTGTCGCTCTTCTTGAGTACGAGCCCTAACATAATCCCAAAACAAAGTCTTTCAAAAATGCAAGCCTTTTGATGAAAACAAGTTGGAAAACATATAAAACATATCATAACCTATTTATGGATATGCTGCAGTGTTTAAAAAAGCTGAGATTTTACATTATCCTACCATCTTTACATTTCGAAACTTCATATTTTGCATAATAATTCGTTTATTTTAAATGTGAGCAAAGGGACGCTTTAACTTCTTTTTTTTCCCTTACTTATCTGTGTGATAAAAAATAAAGCAATTAACTTAAAAGTCTATGTATTTATTTTATCAAAATAAAATTTCTTATTTTTAATTTTATTACAAGTTCTTTAATTATACAAATAAATCGAAATTTTTGTTGAAAGGATATTCTTGGTTTTAATATGAGTCATGTAAAATACAGCAATCACCGAAACATTTTGTTTTTGTAATAAAAAGTTAAAAGACTTTCTCAATAGATTTCATAGTGAAAACAATTCTCAACATTTCCGCCAATATAATAATAATAACATTTCAATGAGCACTGTCTATTATAATATGTGACGGTCTTGTATTAGATGACATTGGTCGGTTTTTTTCATCACCTCTAATATTGAGATCAGCGGGGAACGTTACGTAGTGCTCTGTGCTATGGGAGAGAAAATACTTCACCTATACTACAGAATGGTAAATATCATATTTTTATGGTAACGAAGAAGTTATGTTAGTCTGTTTTAAACATCTTTATTTAGTACTAGTCGCTATGTCTAAGAATAATCTTTATGCTGATGTAAAAACAGGTTTATTAATATATATTTTTTAATATTCGTTAACTAAATAATATAATTAGATCAAAGATTATCATGTATTAAAAGTTTCTTTATTGATGTTGTGAATGGTAGACAATCAAAAAAGAGAAGTCTTACAAATGAACAATGTATTTCACATACATTATCATTCGGTATAACACTAAAAGATTAATTTCTTTTTTTTATACTTGAAATATTTTCCTTTTTTTTTAAATAGATACATTATTTGATCAAATATTACGAATTGAACAAAAGACTTTTGATAAAAGTGAAGTTAATCATCAAAAACTTATACCTTCTGTTCGTTCAACAAATATGGATATTCAAAATTAGTCGAATAAAGGATTATCTAACGAACATATTTCATAAGTAAAAAAAAAAGGACATTTCATATATATAGGATATCGAAAAAATCTTTTTTCATTTTTTTCTCATGTAAAATTTTTTCTCAGTGAGATGTCAATGTAAATTAAATGATTTTTCTTGTTATGAATTATGTTAATTTAATTTTTCAAAAAGAACATCATGTGTTAATTATTGATCAACAAACGTTGATATAATGAACATAATTATAAATTCTTTTTGAAAATTATTTATATATTTGTTTTTACAACTCAAACGAAAAAAAAAATAAACAACAATCATTTGATTTACATTCCCTGTAATTATTGATATAAATCTCGGGTAATAAAAAAAACTAATAAGAATTTCTAATCGCATGTAAAAGAAATATATAGTCATTTTTTATATGTTTGAATATCATTAGATTTTGTACTATAGTTTTATAGTTAGACAAGTGATATTCTGTTTTATTAACTTTATTTTCTTTCGACATGTTATTTTGCTTTAGTTTTCAAAGCTTAATATTTAACTTGACTATGTTTTTTTTTTGATTTGACATCTACACGTTTAATTTAATTTCTTTTCTTTGTTTTTGCTTCAATATTATTGTTACATTTGTTTATTTATGAAATATATCAAATGTATAAAATAATACAACAGCATGAAACATATCTTTAAAACTTTTTGATCTGTTGTCCAACTAATTCATTTATATATTTTCATTGTAATGTATGGTAATTGTTCAAATCTGTGATATTATGTTATCTTGAACAACCGAAAATTAATCTTAACTAGAGATGTTCGAACTGAAACTAAAAGAAATAGCCGATTTTAACTGTTTTCACCTTGAATACGACGCAAATTTTACGCAACCGTCAAAGATATCATTCCCAATAAAAACGTGTTGGTCCTGAAATCATCTTGCCCATATCTAGTTCTAAGCAATGCAACTAAATTTTTTGCTTATAAATAAAAATTCGAAATTTCTCTCTATCATTACGACAAAAAAAATGAACTCATTTGATCAAAATATGATGGAGATATTTTATTTTTTTTTTAAGTAGGTTATTCATGAGACATCCGATTCTACCAATGAGTGTTAATCAAATAGAATTATTTTTTATTTTTTTTCCTTCTTTTTTTTCTTAACTACGCATGTATATTAAGATATTATGGTGCAACGAAATAAAAACGAATTGTACAATACGCAGGAAAAGGACAAATAACATCTTATAACATATTGTGCATTTTTCTTTTTTGTACGTGGAATTTTTCAAGGCTTATGAAGTATAGATTGCCGTCGTGTTTCTTACATGCGATCAGGCAATAAAGAATGAATCGACCATAGCAACAAATACAGCTGACATAACAGCAAAATAATAGTGACACTCTCCTCGATGATGCAAATTTTTTTTTTCATATTATGTGCAGTGAAATATTTTTACGTTTTTACTGCACGTAACGAAGTTATGTTTCAATTTTGGATTCATTTTTAATGTTGTGTAATGCATTTAGAACTAATAAAGTCAATAACTCATAATATAAGTTTCTAAAAGTTTTATTCAATGTTGTTTTTTTTTCTTGTTAATTAATGATTGAATTATTCATGTATTTGTATTTTAAGGACAAATTTTTTTAGTAAATATCTAATATAAGAGAGAAAACGAAAAAAAGAATCAGAAACTTGGCAAATATATCCTTTGCCTTTGCTTCAATTCTGTTCGCTCACATATTCTCTTTTGTTTTCTCTCCTTTTTCCTCGCTTGCTCACGTATAAAACGTCAGGTTATAAGTTAGTGTCACTAAGCAAATAGGATACACTCTCAGCATCTTAACAGTCAACTGCATCATAATCTTATCCCATTAGATTCGTTAATACAACGACTAATACAAAAGAATGTAAGTATATCAAAAAAAAAAACTTGATGAATACTACTTAGTACATGATATCTTTATCAATATAACAATATCTAGTCATTGTTACCTACTTTGCTAAGACGATTTTTTGATGACTGAAAGTAAATTGTATATTAGTTAGTTATTTTCTTATTGATAGAGCATTCAATATATTTAGTTTGGCTTTTTTTTTTTATGAATAAATTTTAATAAAAAGAAGAATTTCTTAATAGTGATTTATTTTGAAAAACAAAACCATATAGAATTAATTCATTAGAATTTTAGTTAATAGATGCACGCGATATTGGAATAAATATTTCAAAGCACTTGCTGAATCGAAAGATGGTGAGTTGCTGGCAGAGCAACTAATTCTTAACATACATAGAAGCGAATGGCTAAGTGGGCAGCTAAGGATTCAAGGTCTTCATAGAACTAGACGTTTCATCGACCATATAACAGTTTTAGAAAAATGTCTGTCCTGGCACGACGAGAACCCACTTACGGACACAATTGTTCAGTTCTCCCAGGATAATATCGAGATATTGAAGGAATTTCCCGAAACTTTCTGAAGTTTTCTGATCTATTATTCACCGGTGTGTATTTCTTTGTTTCTTCCTCAACCTATTTTTTCTTTTTCTTTTCTGTTTTCTCTTTCGCATACACCATATTGAACAATGTCAACTATCCAATCTTTCGTCCGTAACTCTGTACGATGTTAATCTATCCTGGTTTTTTTTGTCTTTGTTCTGTTTTCTTTTTCTACCTTGTCCCTTAAGTTCTCTTCTCCATCATCTTCTTCTATAAAGTAGGACTCTTTCTTTCTTTCTTTTGTTTTTTTATGTCGCAAGCTCTAAGTGCCGACAGGCCCACGTCTGGGCATCGGCGTTTCTCATTTAGCAAAATAAAATAAAATTCATTAGAATTTCTTTCTCACTTTTGTTTTGTAAATTAGGTGACATCTTCCGTAGATTTTTGTCCTTTTATTTAAAATTTGAATATGTCGAATGAATTTACTCTCGATTATCTGTTGTCTATAGTTTTCATTCATTAATATCTTTTACATATTTTCATGTTCGACTATATCCATTTGAAATATTCTTTTTGTATAGAAATTCATTCTTTTTTTTTATTGCCAGACTACCAATATTTTGTTTTTGTCTCTTTATTTATTTATTTATCACAATTCAATTTTCTTATGATAAAGTGTATTATGTGATCTGCTACAGTTATATACAAAGAAATAGATGTTTCATTTTGAGAGATTTTTACCCAAAGGTGCTTACAAGTACATATAGAAAAGAAGAGAGAAATGTTTTTTTTACTTTTTTACAACGTCTAGAGAAAAATTAAATGAAGAGAAATAACGACCTTGAAAGAGACTAGAGAAAGAAAAAAAAAGTAATGGTGGTGGGGGAAAATGGAAGACGTTTTTTACGATGATTAAATGTATGTTATAGTCAGATATCCTTATTCATAAGAGGGTAGAAGTTTTATTTCCAGAGATATATACGTTAGTATTTGCATAATTCATATGTGCATATAGAAAAGAAGCGAGTATAATATTTGTTTTTGCCTTTCTACGGCGCAGAAAAGACACAAGGAGAAAAAGTGATTGTGGAGGAGGCAGCAATAAAAAAAACTATTGTAGTGAGTAGGTGAAGTGCGACAGTACTTACTTTGTATCATATAAAATTTACTAGAGCATACATCTGTGTTTACATACTATGTTTTGCATATTCCTATCGTAAGCAATAGTATTCTTTTTCTTTTTTTGTTGTACTTCATTCTTAATGAATTTAAAACATTCACCTTTTAGATAGATATTCTCAAATAAAAAACTATTAATTAATTGAGCTTAAATTTTCATATCTAGAACTCTTTCATTTATTTATTTTAATTATTAATCAACTAAATATTATATGTATATGAGATTTTTGATAATTAATTAAGCAATCAGATAGATTCTAAATTATAATAAATTATCTCAAAAATAAATAAATAATTATGATCAAGTTTTTTTTTCAAATTTTATTTTACATATTTTATAAAATGTGGAATTATATTGAAGCAGTACGAGTTGAAGTAAATCCGATACAAAATTTTTTTTTCTGATAGATGTTGATGAATAGAAGACTATGTTCCATTAGAGTCCGTTAAGTTGATCTCCAATCGATGGGTACTATTCAACGAATACAAAACAGTCTCGATTAGAAAATTTTATTGAGATTATCAAAGTACAGTTGAACTAGGTTTTGGTCCGAAAAAGTTTGGACTAGACAGGTTTCATTCCTTACATACTTCATTTTTTTCTCTTCTTCCGATACAAGTAATCAAGTCAGTTTTTTCTACTACAAGACACAGTTTCGTATCCTCTAAAATAAATGACATGACAATTTCATTGCACAATCTACAGAAAAAAAAATGTTGCGAAAGATGACAAAGAATACTCAAGGACAAAAAAAAATAGACTAAAAATAAAATTCTCTTTATTCATCACTATGTATGTCTGATTTGAAGAAGAATAAGTATCTGTCAGATATTCTTTATATAATTAAATTTTAAAATAATATGCATTAAGATATTATAGAATTCTAATTAAAATAAGTTGATTATATAGTTATAGAGACTTTTATTAATTTCTATGAAATGAAAATGTTTACAGTAAGTAGTTATATGTAAGAGGATAGATATTTCATTTTGAGAGATTTTTCTATGTTGATGGTCATCAGTGTATTGTATCGAAGTTACTTATATCGAATTAATGTCAATTAATTCATGATATTAAAAACAGAATATATAATTATAGTTAGTTTTTCATTAAAAAAAAAACACATGATTTTTCACGAGACGTTACTTTTTTTGTTAATAATTTATATGATTGTAGATTTATTCTGACGATGATTATAAGATCTGTAATTCATGAGAAAAATCTTTACAATAGTATGTTATGATTTAAATAAGATAATTATTAACTTTATATTTTTAAGAAAAATCTTACATATAAGAATAAGTTAAATACAGACTTCAATTAAATAGATTTTTGAATATAATGTTTCAATATTATCCATGCAGCAGCTCAATATAAATTCTATTAGTAAAGCTAATCTCAAAGAAGAATATACTAGACAAACATCATAGGAATAGTAGTATATGGTAAGAGTAACTCTTTGTGATTTTAAAATTCGATTGATGAAATTTTTATAAGAATTTATTGTTTATATTCAAATACTTGAATCTATCTTTTGCAATATGTAACATATTTTAGTTGCATTGAAATAAAAACCATAATATAGAAAAGGCATTTTACATCCTAAACTAGGTTTTTTTTTCTTTTTTGTTATAATCTTGTCTTTGTTTTCACTTTCAGCTAAATGCTTCATTTATCTTCAATTTTAGTTTTATATGTTATGCCAAAATGAAAACTGAGATTCATAGCAAAAAAAAAAGATATTGGAAAATCTTTCAAAATAAAATATTTTGTAAGAACAGTAATAATTCTATAGTTATGTTTGATTTAGATCAGCGTATAATATTCTAGATATTTCTTTTATTAGTTACAGATTTTATAATCATTGTCAGAATAAATTTATGATCATATAAAGTAATTATTAACAAAAAATAATATTTGAATGTTTTTTGAATAATTTTATTCTATGTTTATACATAAACAAGTGATATAAATATTTTTAAAATAGACTATTAACTATTATTATTCTTTAATTAATATTTATTTGTTATTTGGTTGATTTAAAGTAACTTTGACACGTTTGAAGCTTCATTTAATTTTGTCTGATGTAGTTAGAAGTTCATCGACCAATATAATTTCAATAAGAGAAACACATATAGAAACGAAGAAATCAATGTTTTATTCACCTTTTTACACCATCGAGAAAACTACATGAAGAAAAAAAAGATTTCGAATGAGGCACGCGAGAGAGAGAGAGTGAGAGAGAGAGAGAGAAAAGAAAAAGAAAGGGCGATGAGAACAAAATGGGTATCACGGTTTTTGTTTAAAAAAAAAGACGTAATTCTCTGTATTATTATTTCTAAAGAGAGCAAAAGTTTTGTTTCGAGGGTCTGCAAGACATTCATCGTGTATACATACATATAGAAAAAAAAACGAACCTACTTATTATTCATTTTTTTACCTTTTTATCATGGAAATAGCAAACATCTCTAATGGAGCAAACAAAAAGATTGTTAAACGGTAAAGACAAGAAAAACAATATAGTCAAGTGAGAAGAAAGAGAACATAAAAGTACTGTTTGACATAATATAAAGGTTGGTAGATGTTACATTTTTGGTTCAGATACTATGTTTAGCGTTATTCATATTGTAAGTCATAGTTTTCAATTTCTTTTTTTGTGCTGAATTTTTTCATTTGTAATGAAGTTAAAATATTCACTCTCTAGATAGATATTTTCATACCTTGAACTTCTTGATTTATTTTTTTTAATTGTTAATCAACAAAAAAAATATCAGGTATATAGCACACGAGATTTTCGATAATTAATTGAATAATTAGATAGATTCGAAATTATAATGATAGACATTAGTTAATTTTTCCTCATGTGAAAATATGTAAAAACACACTTTTTGTTTTTATAGAAAATATGATATATTTTAATGTGTCACTATATGTATCTGATTTGAAGAAGAGTAACTGTTCATCAGATATTCTTTATATAATTCAGTTACAAAAAAAAAAATATGCGTCAAGATATTGTAAGTCTATAGTGAGAATAAGTTACTTATACAGACTTTTATTAATTTATATGAAAAAAAAATGTTTATAGTAAAACTTCTCTCATGTATGGGCATGATCAACATCGATCAAAAACGTTCATTTCATGAAGGTACTTATTATTGGAAACTTTTCAGTTTCTTTTTTTTTTGTAATCTATAAGTATTCAATTGTAATGGCGTCTCCGCTGCATCAGATAGTCTTTTTCTTTCTTTCCGATAATTTATTAATTTAACTTTTTTTAATTAAAGACAAAGTAAAATGTGTTTATATCATATAATTGAACTAGCTATTAACACAAAAACAATGAGATACTACATCAAAAACTATTGCTGTTGTCTAATATTAGTGTTTTTTTCTTTCAAATATATACGATTAGTTCCATCTCCTTCTTCTATGTATCTCTCGTGATTGTTTATCGTAACAGCATTACTCATGATACTAATTATTTTCGCGTTCTGTACGTTATTTACTGGTTACATTAGAGGTTATTATTTGTTTGAGACACAATAATAAGCATCGATTGCTCAAAATAAGGAGGTATTTCCATAGAGGTTTTAAAGTATAGTAAATATCATATTTTTTTCTTTTTTCTTCGTTTGTACAGACAACAAATTAAAAATTACCATGAAAAAAATACCTACTGTTTTGTCGTATGATCGAGGTAAAACATGACTTATTTCATTAAATGCTTTAGTCGGTTTTTTCTTCTTTTTCTTTCTCTCTCGTTTTTTTTTATATGTGGGCGTTGTCTCTATATATTGATAGTTGTTATATAAATACGTTTTCTCGTATAAGTAGTTGTTATAAGAGAGAAGACAGTGACTGATTATTAATGGTGAGTACACATAACAACAAAAAAGCATATAAGGAAGAAAAAAGTCTGACATTAAAATGATTTCAGTTAGAATAGCAAAAAAAACACGATCTTTCGATAAAAGTGAAAGAGTTTCATTAAAACGTATGAATATATTTATATTTATTTCTAATAAAATACACTTTTTCATTCTAAGTATAATATCTAATTTTTTATTTGATGTTTTATATCTTGGTTATATTTGTTTTATAAAATTTAATGTAAGTACACTCTTCTATTATTCTTGATATTTCATGTGAAGGAAAAAAAAAGTTTTTATAGTAAATCTTGAAAGTGATTTCATGTTTATTTTATCGAATGAATATTAAATATTTTAAACTTTTTTAAGATTAAATTATAAACAATAAAAAAACCAAAGATTTTTTAGTTGTAGTTATTTATTTCTAATTATAAATACTACAGAAATTCCCTCTTGTTTACATATTTTAATCAAAATAAGACATTTGAATATATTAAAAAAAAAAGGAAATTTTCTTCATTTATTTAAGACATACGAAATTTTTATTTTAGATAAAAGAGAAAGAATATATTTATATATACATTTGTTAGAATATATTCTTTAAAGGTATATGTCGTAAAAATTGCTTCGATAGATTGTTAAATTTATTAAGTAACTATAGAATAATCAACCAGATAGAATTAAGAAATGACATTATATGTTAAAGTAATAATAGAACAAAAACATGTTAGAATTGAGTAATGTTAGATTATGAAAAGATTTCTAAAAATGATTTATATTCACTGCATATCTACATTCAACTATTGATTCTAACATCAGACAATACTTTAAATTGTTAAACATTTCTTTTTACATAAAAAATGCTATTTAACTCGATCTATAATTTTAGTTTTATTTAATGATAATAAAGTGGATATGAACTAATGACTTCATAACGAAATTGAACTGTTTACGAACTATAGACATAGATTAGTAGGTAGAATTCTATTGATATTCGAAACTTTATTACTATTAGTAGAGTGTTACAGTAAAAATCTGGTCGCTAGATATTATTCATATGACACTAAATGTTCGAGATTTTTCTTTTTTTTTCTATGACGAAAAGAAAAAAGACTTGGCATATAATGCTAATTTAACAAGTTATAGTTAGATATCGACTAGATGGTCCTGATCCTGGGGCTGAGGTCAAATTTTTTTTGATCCCAATCAAGGTCAAATTTTCCTAGGTGGGATCTGGACCAAAGACGGCTAATCCCGTTTATGTGTAGTCATTGTGGTTCAAGTACATAATATTGTCGATATTGTTTTTTTTGATAGAAAACATCCAAAACTCAAAATAAGTTCGATACATTCACGCTAATTTAAGACATCTATTGATGACAGAAAAGATTTTACTTTCGTATAATACAGTCCATTATTTTTTTAAATTTATATTTTTAAAACATTCTACTATAAAATTTATCTGTCGACTATTTATTCTTTTTGTATCAAAATATGTGATTCTTCTGCTTTTTATATGATAATTATAATAATTTAGTGAAAATTAATCATATTTTATTCATACTACAGCGAAATTCGTGCGAGAGACGTAAAAAAAACTGTACTTACTTCGACGTAGATTCTGCGCATCTGTTTTGTTTTTTTTTCAACTTTACATTTTTATATCACGAGCACATGGCAATTCTTCCTAGTTGGAAGATATTTCGTTCTGTATTTACACGCAACGATAGTGTTCTTTTTCTTGATGAAAAAAGAACCCTTGATAAAAAAAAATACCTTTTATTCACAAAAAAAAGAATATATAACGACATCTATGATTGTAGTGCATGAATAAGAAAAATTAAAGTAAAATATATTAAAAATAGTTTATTATTGATAGACAAAGAATTAATACAGAGAAAATAACTTGTAGAAGAATTTCATACATCAATACAAAAATATAATGAAAGATAAGAACATGAAACAATCGATTTTGGTTTTATTGTAGATAGATTATCGTTTTGATTTAGTCAAAAAAGATCTAAAACAAAATGTCTAACTTCCATACTAATGATAGTGACGATTCATATTCGTCGTCTGACGGTATGTGTGAAAATTTTACGTTGAATCTAATAAAGAATCAATTTTGAATATTAAATTTCATTAGAGAATATTTTTTCTATTCATATATACAGAAAATGAAGAACATTCAACGGCATCGAATAATCTCTATTCAATTTGTATATATAAATATATTGTCAAGAAATTTTAAAACTTACATTTTTTATTTATATAGCTTGTGAAGAGTCTTCCATAAATGAAACATCTAATAATTTACTACAAATGACAGGTATAGTTCATTCTATAAATAGATTCTTGTTTCGAATTCACGATGCTTTAGAACAACAAATCAATCAACGTGTTATATATAATGAAACACCAATATTATTATTAGAAGATTGGTTCATATTAATGTGGTTTCGTTTATTTTTATATTCATATTGTGATTTCTTATTATTCGTACTTATTATTTATGAAATAATAACTTACAGGAATCGATCTACCGTGCTTACTCATGAATCTGAATTAGAGTTTTCCAATTTATTAAATGATCGTGAGATTCTATTAGATTTATTTTTAGAATATTTATTTATTTATTTTGTTATTACAGTTTATGTTCAATCAAATAGAAATGCACAAATAGAAGGTCGTACAGCTCGTAAGTATTACTTTTAGATTGACGAAAAAAAAATCAATGATCTGATATTTTCAATTCACTTTTATAGATCCAACCGATGAAACTTTTAAGTTCTCTACAACTGTAATCGGTAAATAACTTTAAAGGCTTTATTCATTAATTTCAATATTCTATTTCTAGATGCCGATGATGAACCATTAGCAATTGAAAATACATTATCACATGATGAAGGAGTTTTAATAGGTTTAAATAATAATCGACATACATATTCGATTATAAATAATGAAAATGGTGATGCTAATGAAGATGCATCCTTATACACTGCTATGAATGATAATATTATTACTCAAAATCTACAAATTGGTAAATAACTTTTTTCTTTTAACATTTTCTGGTAGATAGTATTTTATATAAATATTTAGGTGAAAATGCACAAGTTCTAAATAGTAATGGTGTACCGGAACTTGTGCTCGATGATCCAACATGTAAGTTAAAATATCATATTTCGATATAAGATTGTTTTGCATTTTTTATTTGAAAGATAACATAAATCCTCTGAACTCAGTCGAACCGAACGATCATATACAGTCCAGTAATAGTACTGAAAAAGGTAGATTTAACTAATTTTTTCATCAACAAATTATTATAATAATTTATGATTTATCCATAATATGAACTTAATCTAACATATATTTTTTTGTTTAGAACAAATTTTAAGTTCAGGAAGTAGTTTTGATGATGATAATGAATATGTTTTAATTAATAATGATGAATATGATTTAGCTCGTGATAATGAATATGTTTTAGTTAATAATGTTGAATATAATTTAACTAATGATAATGAATATATTTTAATTGATATTAATGATCAAAGAGGTTTGTGAAAATAATTTTAATATTCTTTTCTTTTTTTTATTTAAATACAATACGAATGATTAGATCAAACATTATCAAATACTAAAAATCTTAATAATCATCTTGAAAATGATAATCAATTAGATCAAACAAATCCTACTAATGAACAACATACTCGAATCAGCAATACAGGTGAGACATAATTTCATTGATTCAATGAAATATATTTCTTTTTTGTTATATAGTTCTATCACACAGTGAAGCAGTGGAAAATCAAGAAAATGTTTCTGCTCCATTCGAAAATGCTCAACGAACAATAGAAGGTGCTACTTGTCTAACACTTATACTTCACCAAAAACAAACAGATCCTAATAACTTAAATATCAAAAGTATTGATTCATGAAATATTCAATTATTTATATTATTCAAGCAAAATTTTGTTTTAATTACGAAATGACAAATCTTTTTTATTTTTTCGTTTAGACTTTGGAATTATAGATTTAGTGAGTTTTCTTTTTATCTTGAAAATCTTTTAAGACTCTCGTTCTACTCAAAAATCGATTATTATTCAAATACATTTAATTCTTCATGAGATTTTAACTGTATATTAGAGCAATAACACATAAATTATGATAGATTTTTGTTCGAATAATAGTATGCCGTTTTTAAAAGATATTTGTCAAATTATAGGCAATAAAGAGTTTATCCGATAATTCGTATACTCTGTGAACTTTTATTGAAAATAGTTCTATTTATTCTTATTCGATAAAACATATTCGAATGAAGAATATGATAGAATCTTCTTTAAAAAATTATTAATGTCGTTCCTGTGCGATTAAAATGTAAAACACGATGTAGTTGCTTTTGATAATCACAGGAAATCTATTTTATTCTCTGTGTTTTGAGAAACATTTCATTATCATCCTTTAACTTAGTCTTTCAGATATGCAATAAGGAAATAGTTTATATATGACGAGACGCTTGATCATATATCGACAACGCCTGTCGCAGTCTGTAGGGGAGGGACGGGCAGGCCAGAATTTCTATCTCTATACTTTAACATTCATTTTAAATCGTGTTTCACAAAATATGAATTTTACATGATATATAAACAGAAACAAATTGTTGAAAACGAATGTAAACGCTCAAAAAAAAAATTTTGTGATATGAAATGTTCTTAAAGTCGTCTTTTTGAGCGTTTACATATCTTTTTCTGATAATTCTCATCTGCTTGAGTACAAGAACGTTATGTTTTCAAAATTGTTTTAAAAAAATCGTTTGAATAAAAAAAATAAGCATGACTAGTCACCTCTGACACAGCTTATTCGAATATTCTGAATAGCATGAAAAAAAACATTTATTGTTTGTTATTATAAATAGACTTTTCTTTGAGACAACGAGCTGAGAAACATGAAAGAGTGTCGACATGCTGTAGTCTTTGGAGACTTTATATTATCGTGCCACATATGTATCTTAAAATTGAGAATTTTGATAATAATCGATTGATTTTGAGTGAGAACAAAGGGTATTTAAACTTCTTTTCTTTTTTGTTCTGTAATATCCCGCGTGATGAAAAAAAAAACATTCAACTTATGAGCTTGTGAACCGGTGATATGAACGACATTTTTCTTTTTTTTTGTTTTATTGTTATTTGATTAACTTGTTGAAATAAATATGTTTAGCCTAAAATATACTTAATTATAATATGATTCATATAAAATAGATTACTGAGTTTTTCCATTGTCGATGCTAATTGAAATAAATTATTGAAAACAATAAACTAATAAATATATGTTGTTTCAATAATATTTTAATTATATTATTTAATTCATTTGAATATCAGAGAATAGTTTACTAGATAACATTATTTTTTAGATAAAATACTGATATATCAGATATTATTATAATTTTTCTAAAATTGATCAGTCTGATTAAATCTTACAGAAATAATATTCCTGAGATATCACAACATCATTACAATGTCAGTACTAAAGAATTTCTTGTCTCGAAAATGATTTACTTGAAAATAATTTATTAATATATTTTCTTATCCATTTTAAATACTTCGAACAGACTGTTTTTTCTTTTCAAATAATAATTGCATTATTCTTTTGGTAAGATCAAAATATGAATATTTTCTTTAGTGATATTATTAATCAATAATTCTACTCGATAATAATAAAGATGAAAAAAAGTATTACAAATATAGTTTTCATTTAACAAACATGTTGAAATTATCAAATATAAATTTTTTTTATTTTATTTTTACTTTTATATCAATAGTTTAAATTAATAGAAAAAAGGAATCATACATGTTGCTTTGTGAATATTTCTTTCAAAAAATGTTTATTTGAATTATTTTATTTTTGAAATCATATAGATCACAAAGAATCCTATGTTGTATCTTAATTTGGAATTTGATTTATGGATTTTTAGAAGAAATAACATGAAACGATCGGTGTTTTTTTTCCTCATAACCCATGTACAATTAATAAGAACAATAATATTAACATTTTAAACTTCTTTCATTAAAAACCATTAGAACTCTACAAAACACAGCAGGACAGGATAGTACTATCCTGCTGATCGTCATCTCCTTCTAATTTTGTCGTTTGGAAGATAGAATTTCATTAGAGAATCAAATAAGCCAAAAAACCAAATTGTGATGTATAATAATCAGTTCCCTAAAAAACTTACATAAGTTTACAAAATTCTGAATTGTGCTTAGCAGGCAGTCTACAACTGATAGCTGATACGGTCACATATACCGAATAGTAAACAAGAAGCAACACTAAAAAAATTCAAAATGCACCGCGAGAAGCAAAAAGAGCAAAATTATAAACGTATATGATATCTGTACAGAAAAAAGAACCTCTTCCTTTCTCTTGTTTTGTCTGTGTTTCCTTTACTCGTTCTCCAACTTTTCTTGGATTGTCAAATACTCGCTTCGTTGGGTGTTTTGCTTTGCTTCTTTCTCCTTTCTTGTGGTTGTTTTCTTTTTTTTCTTCTTCTCTCTCTCTCTAGTGCGACTGACTTTGCGTTCCGTTTTCTCCGATTGGAAAGTATTCAGTATTCAATTGTAATCGTATTTCAGTTGCCCCAAATGATCTTTTTCCTTTTTCCAACAATTTATTAATTCAACTTTTTTAATCAAAGACAAAGCAACACTTGTTGATATCATTTGACTTAACTTGCTGTTAACACAAAAACAAAGAGATATTACACCAAGAACTGTTGTTGTTGTTGTCTAATATTCGTGGTTTTTTTTTCTTTTGAAATACGTATGGTTAGTTCATTCTCTTCTGATATGTGTCCCGTGATTGTTTATCGTAATACCAATATTCATAATATAATGATTTTCTCGATCTGTGCATGAGTGATAGAAAATTTATTGCTCATATTACAGAAGTTATTATGAATCATAAGACAAGAAATAAACGTCCGCTGGTCAAAAAAAAACGAGATGTTTCCATAGAGAAGCATTATCTTATATTAGATCTCATGATTTTTCTCTCTTCTTTATTTTTACAGGCAACAAATATGAATATAACTATCGAAAAAAAATGTGAAGTATTTTGCTGTATGATCGAAGTAAAAAAAAATGATCTATGTCATTAGGTTCTTAAGTCGTTTTTTTTTGTTTTTTTTATTCGTCGCCATCGTCTCTATATATTGATAGTCTATTAATATATATCAATAAAATATCTCGTATACGTAGTCATATCATCCGGAAGGATTTTGAAGGGTAGTAGACGTTCGATGAATGTATTGTAAGAGAGAAGACAATAACTGACTATTAGTGGTGAATATAAATGACAGCAAAAAGACCACAAGGAAGAAGAAAATCTTATAATGAAATGATATCAATCTTGACAAGAAAAAGAAACAGAAATATTTTTGTTAAAATCAGAATAGTAGAAAAAAAACCGATATCTCAATAATAAGTGAAAGTTTATCATTAGAATGTACTATTAGCTGACACATAAATACAGACTGGGCCAAAAGTAACAGGACAAATAATTTTTTGGATTTTTTTTCTTTATATATCAACAGTTACATCTCATAGTTATATCACATATACTAGGTGATACTAGTCAGAGATATGATATATGATCAGTCTCCGGACGCGAGTTTGGGTGCACTCATTTCCAGTCAACACCCAAACTAACAGCTGAAACCACACCCACACTCACACCTACACCCATGCCCACACCCTATTTTATTGTTCATATAGATATAAATTTTTAACAACATGCATCATTGCAAAAATAACTACCACATACTGATGGTACGATGGAAGTTTATTGCTTGTAAGATTTCATTATTTTGTGTGCTCTGCAATCAATTTATGTAGCTGATGGAGTGGAAGTTTGTTGAGTCCGCTTTTCTGCTTCTTGTTTAATCATTGTTTGTTGAATGTTCACTGGAAATCCTGGATTAGGATTTAATGCAAATGGACAATAATGTTTTCGGTATATCACCAAAATTCACCATAATTTTAATGAACATTGTATCGTCTCGAACATAAGGATTGCCTTCCTATTGAATTGTTGATAATGGACAAAGTTTTGGAATGCCACTGGCAATATTCATTTCAGATCGTGGATGTTGAAAACTATTTGATTTGATATCTGGTTGAAATGAATCGATGATATGCTGTTCTGTTGGAGTTTGATCGTATAAGCAAAATGTTACCTTGTAATTGAATGGAAATCTGAGAATGGCATCGTATTCACTTCGCATGAGTATAAAAAAGAGTGAAATATGTGTACGACGAGCATTTCCATCACCATTTAAATATAAACGAGCTCTCATTTTATAGCCACTTTGCGACGAATGAAATGGTGGTGAATAGATTGATGTTTGTCGTTCAGATTGTGCATCAGCTAGAATATAAACATATTCATTATATAAGACTAAATCTTGTTAATAAAATTCTTACCAATTCTGCTACTAAAATTTGTTATTTTCCATAATAATGTACCATCATAAGAAAACAAATTGCATATCGTCAAATTTTTGTTTTAATGATGCAACATATTGATTAAGAACATCCTCATTAGATTTAAGTCCATCTTGTTCTTAAATACTTATTTTCAGTACAGAAAAATCACAATTCCATGTATCAATAGCATTTCATATATAAAGTGATTCATGACTCAGTTGTTTGGCATACTTCTTGTAATTGAATATTTACATTATCGGATGATAATATAGTAGTTTGAGGAAGTGTATCAACATCCATTCTTGAGCCTCTCTCAGGTTGATCATTTATTAATTTTGATAAAATTCTACATATGAAAGTAATTCTTGCACTTTGATGTTGTTCACTTTTATAATGTTCTACTATTTCAGTACGAATAACCTGAAAAAAATCAAAGGAACAATCAGTAGAATATCAAAAAATCATTTTCAAAAGAAATTTATTCTTAATGACTTACAGAAGTTGAACATCTATAATCTTTGAGAGCACAAGGTACAGTAATTTTATCACATCTTAATCTCTTTCTTCTGTGTTTCTTCTTGACAATCAGGTCATACTATTGTTTCCCTTGAAAATATAAAAGTCAATTTAAATCATAAACACAATTTAAACTGGTATTTTTATCCTTCTATTGATTCAACGCACGATTTACATTGACGATGACCACATTTAAGTTGTACAGGATCTCGTAAAATAAGATTGCATATTCGACAAGGTTCTTAATGAAGTTTGACGATGAAATAACTCAGAATGAAAATGTTGAATATCATCATTTAATACATTAATACCATTCAATAGAATATTCGTTGTTTCATATAATTGTTGAAGATTTTCATTAGTTTCTCTATTAGTAGTTATTATTGTAGGAAATAATACTAATGATTGATCAATCATCGAATGTGGAGTATTTTTACAAATATATTGAAGTAAAGCACTCTGATGTTGTTCGCTTATCAAATGATCTCGTGTGTTCAGACGAAAAAAACTAAAAAAAAAACGAATAGAATCTTTGATGAGTAATAAGCTTAACATAAAAATTTCTTCAAAACCTGTTCATTACAACCATATGCTTGGAGAATACAAAATGACAGTAACTTTTTCACAGATAGATATATGTTGAGTAAGTGCATTGGTTTTCTTAAATTTTTCAACACAATATTCACAAAAAGGATTCAAATGAACTTTATCCAAATGTTCCTAAGAAAAAAAATTCAACAATAATTAATAGAAAAAAAAACCCATCAAATAATATTAGTTGATAGTCTTTAAATATTCCATTCCAATCATAAAGTGAACAAATAATATTTAATTTTTCCATGTCAAGTTGACAATCTCGGTCAAGAATTATCTCAAAAATCAAACAAAATATTTAATATATAGTTAGACGAAAAA